CAGGACGGCACCTGCGCCATCGGGGACTTTGGGCTCGCCATGGCGCTGCCGCCCCGCGCTCACAGCGGCAGCGGGCAGGGAATGGCTCACATCCGCAGGGTGAGACGTGGGGGGTGGGGGGCACGGGGGGGGAGGATGGACCCGGGGCATGCCGGGCTGTGGTGTGAGAATGAGCTGGATGTGAGCGTGGTTTTGGTGCAAGCATGGCTGTGGTGTAAGCAGAGTCCTGGTGTGAGCGTGGCTTTGGTGTGAGCATGGCTCTGGTGTGAGCATGGTCCTGGTGTGAGCGTGGCTTTGGTGTGAGCGTGGCTTTGGTGTGAGCATGGCCCTGGTGTGAGCATAGTCCTGGTGTGAGCGTGGCCCTGGTGTGAGCGTGACTCTGGTGCGAGAATGGCTTTGGTGTGAGCATGGCCCTGGTGTGAGCATGGCTTTGGTGTGAGCATGGCTCTGGTGTGAGCATAGTCCTGGTGTGAGCGTGGCTTTGGTGTGAGCGTGGCTTTGGTGTGAGCATGGTCTTGGTGTGAGCGTAGCTTTGGTGTGAGCATGGTTGTGGTGTGAGCGTGGCCCTGGTGTGAGCGTGGCCCTGGTGTGAGCATAGTCCTGGTGTGAGCGTGGCTTTGGTATAAGCATGGCTCTGGTGTGAGCATGGCTCTGGTGTGAGCATGGTCGTGGTTTAAGCACGGCCCTGGTGTGAGCACGGCCCTGGTGTGAGCACGGTCCTGGTGTGAGCATGGCTTTGGTGTGAGCATGGTCCTGGTGTGAGCGTGGCTTTGGTGTAAGCATGGTTTTGATGTGAGCATGGCCCTGGTGTGAGCGTGGCCCTGGTGTGAGCATGGCTCTGGTGTGAGCATGGCCATGGTGTGAGCATGGCTTTGGTGCAAGCATGGCCCAGTTGAAAGTGCAGCCTGGTGCAAGTATGGCCCTGGTGTAAGCATGGTCCTAGTGCGAGCATGGCTTTGGAGCAAGCATGGTCCTGGTGCAAGTATGACTGGTGCAAGCATGGTCTTGGTGCAAGCATGATCCTGGTGCAAGCATGGCCCCAGTGTAATCATGGTCCTGCTGTAAGCATAGCCCTAATGCAAGAATGGCCCCAGTGCAAGCATAGCTTTAGTGCAAACATAGCTTTGGTGAAAATATGATCCTGGTGCAAGAAAAGCCCTGGTGTAAGCACAGCCCTGGTGCAAACTTGGCTTTGGTGCAAGCATGGCCCTGCTGTGAGCACGGTGCGTGGCTGCAGGCGGGCACCCAGCGCTATTTGGCCCCCGAGATCCTGGATGAGAGTCTGGACCTGCGCTCGTGGGGCCGCGCGCTGCTGCAGGCTGACGTTTACGCCTTGGCGCTGCTGCTCTGGGAGATCCTCTCACGCTGTCAGACCCTCAGCCCCCCCGGTGAGCGCCCACCCCCAAATCCCCAAAGCCCCGTGAGCCGCCCCCCTGGTCCCATCAATGCAACCGGGCTCCTTGAGCCCCTCCTCCCCCCTTTATCTCCCTTCCTCCCCTCCAGGCGTTCCGGTGCCGGAGTTCCGCCTTGCCTATGAGGCCGAGTTGGGGGGCAGCCCCACGGCAGCGCAGCTCCGGCGTTTGGCGGTGGAGGAGCGGCGGCGCCCATTGATCCCCCCGACGTGGCACCGCACGGCGCAGGTGGGACCCCGACATGGGGGGGAAAGGGGGGACCCGGCACATAGGGGTGACCAGGGGGTCCTTGCGGTGCCCAAGGGGGGGAGGGTGCCATAGGGGTGACCTTATATTGGGGGGGG